ATAGGGATGAACGGGTTTAAGAGTTTTAAGAGTTTAAGAGTTTTTAAGAGTTTTAGCCAAATGCATTATAATATAGTATAGATATATATATATATATAGGTTGGTTATTATACAACCCTTGTCATTTGTGCAACCAATACAACCTAATCTCAACCGTCCATTTCATTTGATTAATATGTGATTTTATAGATGTTTTGATTATTTCCTAATATAAAGTATTAATCATAATTAATGAACCGTATTCATATTCCATAAATATTTAAATTATAATAAATGAACTCTAATCATTTTCATAAATATTTTAATTTATTGGGTTGCATTGGTTGTACAAATGCGATAGGTTGTATTTGAAATAAACCCTATATATATATATATATATATATATATATAACGTCTTGAAACTTATAAAATATCATGATCGAACATATATATAAATATCTTCCCACTATTGCCTTATAGGGTAAAACATAAGGGTGTGCAGAAAGTCATCTGATCCAATTTAAACCGATAAATCTAATTAGAATCGACCGATCATGATCGGATCCAAAATTTCAACATCAAAATCGAATCGGTTGGTTCTTGGATGACAGTCCAACATCCAATAAGACCAAACCAATCCAATCCAATGACCATCTAATTTTCCATCCAATGACCGTCCAATTAATATCTAATTAATAACTATATATAATTATTATCATCTTTCAATATTTTTTTAGTTGATATTTATATACATTGTCTTTTAATAACTTAAGAAAAAATTTGAATAATTGGTTGAAATGGTAGATTAATTTGTTGAGTAATGAATCAAAAGATTAGACGAATCCAATCAAATCAAATGGAAAACCAATAGTAACATCCAATTGATGAAACCAACCCGAACCATTCATCCATTAGATTTAGATCAGATCGGATAACAAAACCCAACATCCAATGGATGATTGGATCGGATCTACCTAAATTCATCGGATTTCACCCGATGAACACCCTAGTAAAACAAGTAAACCACCAAGTATAGAGAAAGAGAAAGAAACCAAAACCAAAATAATACGACGTAACATCAATCAAGAAAGACACAACGTAAAAAACACAACTTACATAAAAGTAAGGCACTTCACATTCCGTATATGTATTGTCATTGTATGGCACAAGCTAATTATTACATAAAAAGAGCACAAGCATAACGAACTTTACAAAACACACCTAAGTTTGGCATTAGCTGGATTAAGATTATCTGAATAAAAAGAAAAAAGACGAGGATACTACGTAAAACGAGCATCCAAGTGTTTGATTCAGATATTTTTATAATAGATGTAGTAGTATTATGTATATGTATATGCATATGTATAGTATGGAGGATATATAGTATATGTTTGTGTGTATGTGACCACTAAGGATGGTTTGGAAACTATATATGATTCATTTATTGTGGTATATACTCACTTGGTGGGCATGCTACAAATTGATTAACTGTATTTGTTACCGTCTGTAACTTCACAAATGCCACACTCCCCCAAACAAGCACCTACAACACAAAAATACAAGGTCTTAACTGTGTTGTTTCATATCGTGAAACAATGTATTTGAATGTATAGTGTTGTTGAACAGTATGAAACATAAAATCCAAAAAAAAATTGATGAGTAAAAATAATCATCTTGTGAAATAACACTGTATTTTTATATGCAGTGTTTCATAATTTAAAAAAACAACGGTTCTTATTTGATTACTCTCCTAGTACCAACAATTATGAGTTTTTTATTTACCTCTTAATAGTTCTATTAAGAGGCAACATCTGGATCGTTAAGAGGTGAATCGTGTTTGACAAAAAAATAATCCGTCTCTTAGTGGTTCTAAAACTCTCTGAATGATTATGTAGCATGTGCCTCCCTTAACCATTGAGCGCCCTAATTTTGTCGTAAATAATTATCAAAACATATTTTGCACTATATCATGAGAGCTTCTTAATCATTCTGACCACTTAACCATTATGCACCAAACCATTCAGTAATTGTCAAACAGTCTCTCAGTTAATTTGGTAGAATTTAACATTTTTTTTTGTTATTACTAATTGGATACTATAAGCAACTCATGAATTATTGAATTTAGGTGTGAATGAATAACTTGCAAGTTGTAACCCCTTATGTTTAACCCAAAATATTTATTGTAATTACCTCTAATAGTTCTATTAAAAGGTAGTTTCTAGATCTTTAAGAGGTGAATCTTGTTTGACAAAAAATAGTCTTAACTCTTAATAGTTAAACTCTCTGAATGATTTTGTATCATGAGTCTCTCTTAACCATTCAATGTCCTAATTTCATTCTAAACAATTATATTTTATTTTGTATTGTATCATAAAAGCCTTTTAATCATTCTGACCACTTAATTATTTTTCACTAATCTATTCAACAACTATCAAATAGCCATATATATATATATATATATATATATATAGTTGTAATTAATATTTAAAAGTTTACCCAGGAGTTGGCCTAATTTTATGTCACAAGATACAAATATATAAATTAAATAAAATAGAAAATAGATCATTTCCAAACACCTAGACTATCATCAATCATGATTCATGTGAACTTGTGAAGGCATAGAGTTAAATGATGGAAGAAACATACACCTACGCTAAGCCCCACGTGATATATATAAACAATAACATGCATCCCAACGCCCTTCTTGGTGGGGTTTTCTTCTTTCAATTATTATATAGAGTAAATTACAAATTTGATTATTATCGTTAAATAAAAAGCATTTTCATCTTTATATTGATTTATTTTTTGCTTTTTACCCTTTCAAAATCGAATTGTGATTTTGATCCCTGTTTTTTATTGGGTGAAAGATTAAAAAGTTGGATAAAATAACAAAAATACTCTTCATTTAACGAAATCTTTTTTAATGATGGTTAAAGGGAGAAAAATCAAATCCAAACGTTTTCACAAATTATAATTGTCATCTTATAATTTTAAAACTTGAAAGATGAAATATATTATTTTTGACAAACCATATTGACCATATTTGTAGTTGACTCTGTTATATATACATATACCAACTGTGATAGATTTTCTTTATTGTATATAAAAAATTGGCATAACTTGTAAGAAAAGTGTGTTTCTAATGTTGGAATCAAAATTTAGTATTAAATTAGTATATATACCAAACAAGAATACCAAGTAGCCATTTGATGGTTGTGGTGGGGTTTTGCTTCACCAATCACCAAGCCACTGATTTAATGTTTGGCGGTCAATACAAATTTTAGCCACTACACGTTATATTTTAGGTACCACTTTATTAATTCTATATAATACACTGAGTTTATTTTTTATAATCTAAATTTTTTATTTAGGTTAACTTGAAAAGAAAAAAAAAATTCATTTTCTCTCTTAGAAAAATTCATTTTCATTCTCTTATATAAATCAAACAGTTTACAAAATTTTAAGACAAACTAAGGGGTTGTTGATGGGTTTTCCATTAAATCTGATGTGAATAAAGTTGTCAGTATGAGTTAGACTATGTTTGACAAACTAGTTGATAATTGATACACTAGTTAATTAGCAAAAACTAGCTGATAAAAATGTAAAATTATAAAAAATGACATCTTGAAAAATTAATCAGTTATATTATTTTAAAATATAATTGAAACAAAAATCTAATATAATGTATTAATTAATACAAACAATATGTTAAAAAAAATTAATATATTAATTAAAAGAACTTCAAATTGATTATTATATATATAATATGAATAAAAAAATAGTCTATCTCACATATCCTAATTAATTAATAACTTTTTAAAAGATATATGTTAAATAAAATATTTTATTCAATTATTTAACACATTTTTATTATCTATAAAATAAAATAATATAACTTTAATATTTATGTTACATAAATATGTTAAAATTATTATATTTGTTTTTTGATAACTAAATATAATGAATAATAATTAAAAATTAATAATCTAAAAATAATTGAAAATGATTAATAGCTATTTGTAAATAATTAATGAATAATATTAATATAAAATGTATAATTAAAATTAATTGATTTAATTTTCAATTTATATAAACTAGTATTTATTAATATTAGCAATATTTAAATTTTATTTATAATTGGTAGTAATTAATAATAATTTATATTAATAAGAGTTATAATTGAAAAAAACAACAATAAACAACCAAAACGCTACTCCAAGAAAACGTTTCAATAAGCTATCTTATTTGTATCTAAATGTGTACCCAAAAAATAAGTTAGTTTATTTTCGTCAGACAATGTCTTAATTTATCTGTATAAGTTGAGAAGATCTTTGTTTGGAAAGATTTTCTTATAGTTGGAAGAACACTTCTTTTAATTCGGAAGGACATGTTTGACTAAAAACCTGACTTTCTACATAAAATTTTCCTTTAAAATTCATTAAATAAACCACTTTCTATATCATTAAGTCACTACCAACAAAATAAGATATAGCTAATCGACTAAACCCTGAATCTCATTAAGCTCGTTAAATTGCTAATAAACAGAACTTAAACTAAAATCACTGAACTTATTTTGGGAGTAATATTTTTGTTGTTTTACAAATTTGGTCCCTAAAAAATGCAATCTTTGCACATTCTTTCTAAAGCTATTATTTACTCAGTAATTGGTTTGGATTCAGTCGGTTAAGATTAACCTAAAGCCGTCAAACATATATGACCAAAGAGAGGGCAAAAAGGTAAATTCAAAAAATCTTTTTGATTAAAATTCGGAAATAAGTTTACCTTGGCGGGGAGCTGATGGCTTCCGTTTCTACTCCCTCCAAGTTCTGGTGAAGATACTCTTCAGCCGACTGCCGGAAAGTCTCTGTAACGCTTTCTTAGCTCCGACGACCTCCATTTCACTCAGTAGTTGCAAGTAATTGTGAGCTCCGGCATCCACCAACCTTTTCCGGCGACTGTTGCTTCCTCCGGCCATCAATGCATAAACAACCGCCACCGGAAACTTCTTCGGAACCGATTCAGTCAGCGGATCCAACATCTGAACTAGACTCGTCATGCTCTTCTCGTCCTTTGTGAAATAACTCCTGTTCTGTTTCACTGTCAGTAGAGAAGTTAATGCTTGCATCGCCGCCTCTTGTAACCCGACCGGTTTCACGAATTCCATAAGCTTCACCAGAGACCCCATGCATCCAGCAACTGCACGCTTGTTACAGTCATTAATGAACAATTTAGCTAATATTGAAGCTGAGATTTGTTGTAGAGTTAGATTCCCGTGGTCGATGAGTTCGGCGATTTGGATTATGAACGTAGATGATGAGGATAATAACCGGCAAACCGAATCAGAAGTGGATAGTGAATGAATTGAGCGTAATACATACTCTAATGTATCTGGATTTGATGATCGATGAAGCAAATGTAAAAGCCTTTCCAATCCTTTCTCTTGTATCAATAGAGTCCCGAAATACTTGCTGGATGAAGTGACGATAGCAATGCAGTTTGCCGCCTTCTCTTGTGCAGCGGCGGAGCCGGAAACCAGTAGCTGAACGATGACGGCAACTGCATCTTCTTCGCATAAACAGCTGCGAATATCTTCAGCTGAAGCTACATTCCTAATAGCACCAATTGCGTGTGATTGAGCAGTTAACGATCCAGATCTGCAGACATCGAGTAGTATCGGAACACCGCCGTACGCCGAAATAGCCCACGCATTATGAATATCGCCGGTGATTGCTTCGATAGCAACGGATGCCTTTTCCTTCGATGAAATGGAACCAAATTCAAGGATTCGTAACAACGGACCTAATCCACCTTCCTCGAAAACCGTTTTTCTAGAATGTTCGCTTGCGCAGGCGAGAAGAGAGACCGCAGAAACCGCTTGTTCTCTATGATCATCAACATCAAGTAGATGAACCAAATACCTTATATTGCCTTCGCTTGCAACAACTGTAACAGCATTCTCATCATCGACGAGTAATTGAAGAAGACATTCCATTGCCTTTCTCTTAAACTCAACCCCCCCAATCTGTAACCTAGTGAAAAGATCTCTAATGAAAAATCCTAAATCCTCAATAGAAGATCCAGGGGCGGGTTGAGAGAGGACAATAGCAGTCGATTGACATAGAACACCGGAGCGTATCAGCAAATCGAGGTCGTCAAGCTGCTTGGAGAGCCAACCGGCAGCCATGTCAAGGTCGCTCTGCATAAGGAGCTTGCCAGCCGTGCAATTCGAATCGGTGCATTGATCACATAGCGTCTGGATACGGCGGAGGGTGGATAGGAGGCCGGGGAGTAGGGTTTGCAGAAGTGGATTTTCCGACCAGTGAGTCGACTCGGAGATGTCGTACAATGAAGACTTGAGAATGGCGAGCTTTGAACGGATGACTTGCCATCGGGCGATGAAAGACTTGACGGAAAAGGTGGCCGGCAGTAGTATAGAAAGGAGGGCGGTGGTTTGGTTAAGGGTGTGGGCGGAGGAAGGCGGCGGAGGCGGCGGCGGAGGTGAATAATGCATTTTCCGGTTATCTGGATTGGAAATGGGAGATGAAATCGAAAAACATTGCGAATTGAGAGGAGGTGTAGAGAAGGTGGTGGGGTTTGGGGGGTAAGAGAAACGGGTGGGTTAGAAGGCAAGTTCTTGTGAATTCCCAACCTATCACGTGCGTTGCAACCACCATAACAATTAAAATGAAAACAATGCTTTTCTTCACTTTATTATGCTAAACTTCAATGTCGTTACTTATTTAGCCATCGACAATACATCTCGTAATTAGAAATAATAGTTTGACACTTATTAAATGGTTTTGTTCACAATAATTAAATCGTCAAAATCATTAAGAGACTCTTATGATTTAGTACAAAAATAAAATATAATTGTTTACTAATTATTTACAACGAAATTAAGATGTTGGATAATTAAAGAAGACCCAAAATACAAAATCATTAAGAGAATATTAGAACCATTAATACGAAATTAAGATGCTGGACTAAAGTCTTACCTGTAAGTAAATGTTAGTGTTAAATTTTACCGAAAAATACTTACCGAACAAGTGTTTAGTAAACGGTCTCTTTGTCTATTTTAAATAATATGTTAAAAATGCTTAAATGGTTATCTAAATATAAAATAAAATATTGCATTGAAATAAAATAAAAAATTTAATTTCTATTCAAATATTGTATTTCCATAAAATAATATTTTAATGTTTTCCTATATAATAATACAATTAATATTTAATTTTTTTTTTCTTCTAAAATACATTTGGTTTGATTTTCTTTCTTCCTTTTCAGCCTCCTCTTAAGAATGATAGATGTCATTTTTCTAACAAGTACAATAAAGAGGATGTCAGCCACCGCTCACAAGGGATGGTGTTTGATTGGTTTGAGCTTGTACTCTCTTGAGATCAAAAGTGTCTGGAGGCCTCATATTCAAATCATAAGAAGAATAAAAATACTATTATGGTCACGGAGGTTCAAATATGGTGACTTCGGGCTACCTGCGAAACGGATAGTTGCTCTGAGATTAGTCGACTCACTTAACGGATTAGATCTCCAGATTAATAAAAAAAATAAACAGGGTGTGAATGAGGGAGATTAGAGGAATGGATATTAAATAAATTTCAAAATAAGGGACATTTTCAAAAAGAAAATGAAAGACATATTTTTGAATGAATACAGCGCAAGTCGTATTTTTTAGTGAACACAACATCCGAGCATAGAAAGCGAATTATCTGAAACAAAATTGACTTCTTTGTTCACTCTTATCTCCGATAACCAAATTTCGAAAAATCAAAATGGAAAATTGTGTTTTTTGTTCGTAGTTTAGAAACGTGAATTTGTTTAACAAATTTGATTAAGATAGTGTGTGGTATGCATACAATATTGGATGGTATTGAACAAGACATGTGAGATGAACTGGACAAGACAAAACTGGAAATGACAAATTATTTGTCTGGTATGATTAGAACATAATTAGAGAAGTTGTCCCTAAAAGTTGTTTGATCACTACAAAAATGCTGGGTATCAGCGAGGGAAAATTCCCTCGCTGATCCGTCGCTGAAAGGGGTTTCCGTCGCTGATCCGTCGCTGATACTCCGTCGGTCAAACAGTCGTAGGTAATGCTATCAGCGACGGATCAGCGACGGAAATCAGCGACGGATTTGCGACGGACACTTTCAGCGACGGATCAGCGAGGGATGTATTTAGCGACGGATCATCGACGGATTTGCGAGGGAACTTTCAGCGACGGATTTGCGAGGGAACTTTCAGCGACGGATTTGTGAGGGAACTTTCAGCGACGGATTTGCGAGGGAAATTCAAACACTTTCAGCGACGGATTTTCCCTCGCTAATCCGTCGCTAATTTGTAAAAAAATAAAAAATAAATTTTTTAAAAATACATAAATCCTGTATTTATTTTTAAAAAACCTAAAAATAATAATACATAACAAACCAAATTTGTGAACAAAAGTAACCAATTCATACGATTTAAAATATGGATTCATACAATTTAAAATATTCAATTCATACAATTTAATCTTCGAATACATACAACCTAACTATCAGGATCTGGGGGAGGTGGGAAAACGTATCCTGACTGCCGCATAAACGCAGCTTGTCTGGCCTGTTCAACTGTCGAGGCAGCTTGTCTGGCTTCCAAATCTGCCCTATTCTTCCGTTCGGTCTCGAGTTCCTCTTCTACCCTTGACAACTTATCTCTCAACTCCGTTACCTGTAAATATTCAATATTCTTCGAAATCAGTAATTTGTTCGCAATTTTAGTAAAGATTCAGCCTGGAAGTGTTCACCCAAGTCAATTGTAAATGGTGATTCTGACAAGATAATACTAGTGCAAAGAGAAAAAACCGAAATGACATACATGAGACCGTCCAATACGCAATGTTAGCATTGTATGACCAAGTTCTAGCAGAAGAGCGCCCAAATGTTGCATTGCAATCCCAGACTGCATGGCCTCTGTCTGAATCTGGGTTCTCACTGTGACATTAGTAGTATGCTCCTCTTCCTCTAGTCGTCCTGCTGTATGCTACAAATTACAAGGCAAATTCTTAGTTAAATGATCATCAGAAAGTTATAACTAATTTTAGGTCATCTAAGCAAAAACATGAACGCAACCAAGAATGAACTTGAGTGAGAACCACGGTACATTAGGATCAAGATACAACCAAAACATAGAGAAACTTCCATGTTTAATTCAGAATTGCCATTTAGATAAGAGACTAAGTGGACCAATAATGCATAAGGCATCTTCAAGTAAGTAGCTCTCAAGGACTCTACTACTGCAGTCACTAATTTATCTTAATCCCTAAACAGCAAAAAGAGTGACACAAGAAAGAACAGATCTCCTAAATATGTGGATATGAAAACCAGAAGGGCATAAGAAGGAAAACCACAAAAAGAAAAGCATGTTATAGAGAATGAAAAGTACAGATAAAGAATCAATAGCGGGCCCGCTGAGAAGACGTTGTGTACGTCGCAGAACAACTGCCAAAGCTGTTGGTGATAGCAAACCATGACCATTTGAAGGCAATTCTACAGCCGGTATGCCTTCTGTACTAACTGAAGGGTGGTTTGGCTGATATGCTACAAAAAGCTCCAAAAGTAAAGGTCATATAAATCATGCAAAGAAGGAATTGTTATGTTAATAGCAAGAAGATAATTGAGTTATTACCATTCTGTGATAATGCCTGTTCCATGCGGTTAATAAACTTGGAAAGTGTGTTTAGGGAATCAGGAATTGGCTACAAGCATACAACAAACATACAAAGTAAGGTTGTGTACCGAATCCAAAAGAAACTTTATACATATAAAGGAAGTTTAAAACATGTTACTACCGTAGCAAGTGTAGGTACAATTGTTGCTGCTGCTAAGGGGTTTTGTAACCCTTGAGGCATAGATTGACTGGGACTTCTAGGCTGTGACTGGTTTCCTGATTGACCGTGATTGCTGACATTTGCTCCTGTTTCATTTCCTTGGGCAACTTGCACGAGAATATTGGACTGTAACCAAGTAGATGATCAACATATAACAAACTGTAAAAAGACCAATTAGATTTCCAAGATCTCCAAAAAATAATGTACTATTCAGATCTTTGTTGATGTATAAATAACAATATACATATTTGGATAACATCTATATATTTATGTTACAGGGATCATATGTCTATTGGGCTTGTATAGATTTTTTTAAAAATGGCATATGCAACTGTACACGATCTGGACATACAGTATGGAAAAATGACAAACCACTGTAAGTCATGCTACAAAGGAATCTCAGTTTGACATATGACTTACCTCTTAAGATGGAGATGTCATTAAGACAAAATGCAAGCAAAACAACAGAAGGGTAAAGGTCCCGTAAAATGGGAAGATGCAAACTGATCAGGATTATACTAAAAATTCAAGTTGTACAATTTAGGCGTAAGAAATGCAACACAGAGATACAAACAAAAGTATGCAGTGGGGGTTCATGGCATGAAGCATATGGGATACTTGAGGTAAAAAAAAGCAAAGTAGTTGTTTGTAGCTGAGACACAACTGATAAATGATACATTAATTTCCCATAAATTGAAGTGAGTATGTATAGCTTTTCTCATTTGCGAGGCATGATTATGGACCAAAATAAAATTAGCTTAATTTATCCACTTGAATAATGGAAGTGAGTATGTATAGCTTTTCTCAGAACGGCCCCAATCACCTTCAATGGGGAAAAAGGTTTAAACTATAATGGCCATTAGAAAGCCACTAATGCTCACTTTATTGACAACATATTACAGAAGGCAAGGAATTGTGATTCAGATGGTTGTCTAGCCACTAGATGCAGAGTATGTCCACTTTCAACGTCTATAAAATGTCAAGGCTTTCACTTGAGAACATACTCTATAGGATACGATATTCGGAAAGAAGGTCACATACGATATTCGGAAGCCATCCAAGGAGACGGTGGAATAGGACGGCGACGGTGACGGCGACGGTGGAATAGGACGGCGACGGTGGACGGAACAGGATGGCAACGACGGTGGCGGCGACGGTGACGGCGACGATAATAGATTAGCACGGTGACGGTCGGATCCCTCGCCGGTGGTCGCGTCTCTCTCTCTCTCGATATCGCGTCTCTCTCTCTATCTCTCGATATCGCCTCTCTCTATCTCTCTCTATCGCCTCCCTTTCTCTCTCTCTCGATAAACAGACGGCAGGCTCGAGCTTTGACCTAGATAAATTGAAACAGATTCAGCGACGGAAATATTCCGTCTCAAATATATTACATCATTTAACCTTTCATTGTCCAGTCGATATATATATATATATATATATATATATATATGGTTTATTTCTTTTACAACTTTGTGTATTTGTACAACCCTTGCAACCCAATTAATTGAGATATTTATATAAATGATGAAAGTTCATTTATTATGATTTGAATATTTATACAAATGTCAAGGGTTGTAAAATAACCAACCTTTATATATATATATATATATATATATATATATAT